TACCCGTTTGCGACCCTGGTGCGGCCGGGTATGGGTAAGGAATCAAAACCCGTTTGCGACCTCTGGGCTAACGGCATCGCTGGCGGGAGGGCCCTCAGCAAAGACGGAGCCATAGAGAGGCCCCGCTGGAGTGTATTTGGCCTACTCTTGCACGCTGGCCAAGATATCTTGAACGGGGGTGGGAGTGTACCCACATTATACAGGGTGCTTCCAAAAATGTCAACACTTATATGGGATAATACACTGCAACATGATAACAAATGTATGTTAATAGCTTCAAAAAGTCGAAGAGTCTCCACTTCCTCGCCATCATTGTCAACGCGTGCCCGGAGGCAATTTTCTTGTGGTATCGTTGCAAATTCTCAGAAGTGTTAACATTTTTTAGAAGCACCCTGTAATATACACCACCGCACGTGACCAGCCGATCAACTAACTGGCGTACTCATGAATACTGCTGGTTGGACAGAGGCCGTCAGGGATTTAATAAAGCAACAAGATTCAAGTTCAAGTTCATGTATTCGGTATAGCCCTGTGAGCCATTCGGCTATTGAATCGGGTGCAACCGCAACAAACAAAAAACAAAAACATGAACAAAAAACATCTTAAAGTGAATATGTGACTGAGTGCAAACAGAAAATCCAAGAAAAAAAAGACAGCAAAATATTGCAGAAAAAAACACCGCACACCAACGCTGTGTGCAAAAATCCCAGTGGGATGCAAGTCAAACAACCAACAACAACCACAAGATAACTTAGATTAAGGCCATCAGTCTAACTCTGTACTACAACAAACAAACATGGCTAAACCAATACACTTTTCGAAATCACCAAAATAAATCCATGAAACCAATGAAACAGTGATCATAGGAACTGTGACGGAATTTTCACAATAAATGGCATAAACAACATGTACTACCAAAACCCTGCAGCCATAGCTGGCTGCAAGATTGAACTCTCAGTAAAAGTGGAGTAGAATTTGTCGGGCCCTGCGGGGTTGATGATTATGTGCTGAGCTGACCTTTGAACTCCTACAACGCTCCGCTGACCCGGTGTTGTAACAATGTGTTACAGAGAACCAGAGTTCCTCTTTTACGATCAGCTGAAGCAGACGATGAATGCCTATCGGTGAGTAACCTGCTACCATCATCATAATCATCCTCAACGTCGTCATAATTTGCGTAATTGTAATTTAACAAGGCCCGGCATCGCCGCCGTCATTAATAGGGCCATCGACAATATCATTGCCGTTGTCATCTTCGCGATGAACGTCAGCTGGAAAGACACACAGCAGCTTCACTCCCTGCTGCGAAAACTTGGCGGGGACTTTTTGAAATGAGTCCTGAGACTCTGTGAGGCTTTTCTGAGTAAACTAGCGTAGCCATTAAATTTCGATTTAAAGCTTTCGTGACTGCAGGGATTCATCTTCTTGGTTCTTTCGGTAATGTCACGTAGAAGGGAAATAATAAAATAATAAAAACAAAACAATAAAATACAATTATCACGACGTTTCGGCCACAACGCAAGCAGCCGTCCTCAGGTGAAGAACAGGTCTGTCGGAAAGACAGTGTCTGAATTTGCAACAATACCACAAGAAATCATTCAGACGCTGTCTTTCCGACAGACCTGTTCTTCACCTGAGGACGGCTGCTTGCGTTGTGGCCGAAACGTCGTGATAATTGTATTTTATTATGTTTTATTTTTATTATTTTATTATTTCCCTTCTACGTGACATTTTCCGAAAGAACCAAGAAGATAGCGTAGCCATGATAATAACAACTCCCACGTGGGCTCCCCGGTAGAGCCTAGCGAGGCAGGATTTCCCCCCCCCTAAAATGTTGTGGGTTATGGATCAACACCACAGCGATGACAAACATGACCATTGGATTGTTTCTTTTTAAGTGGCCAATGTGTGAGGGGAGCTGTGGGGGGAGCGGGAGTGTAGCAGTGAGCGCGCTGCACTACGAACCGGGCAACACGGGTTCGATTCCCGCTCATGGCCAACACCAGTGACGATTTTCTGAACCGGTCCTGGGCCTCCCCTAGGTCGAATCGGCCTTTGTATCCCACTAGGGAGACAAAGGCGGCCGGGCGTGTAGCTGGCCACCACTCCCTCGTGTGCCGTGCCGGCCTTCATAGGTGTTCACTAACAGCACTTGCCCCAACAGTCTGTGAAAGACTATACGGGGGATCTTTGTATTTGGGGGAAGGGGCGACAGCACACACTGCACTGCAGACCTGGCAACTATAGAGTTGGATTGCTGGGCCCTTGCTCAAAGTTGATTCGGCCTTAAGTTACTAACTGGTATTCGGTGTTCAATAACGTCGGCACAGCATTTCGACCAAGAGCCTGTATGGCTATATGGGGGATATTTGTCCTCTGTATGTCTAGCAAATGTATCATCTCTAAATTGTGTACGAGACTTGTTGTGTGTCCGTGCGTATGTATGTAACTGGTGAATCTGCCAGTCATCTCAGTCAACCCATGGCACCTGGGTCTGTCCTGTGACCTCCTGTCAGCGAGCCTTCGACACTTCACGTGGCCTCAAAGTGCACCTGGCCTGGCACAGGCGCCGTGGTGTTGTCACCGTCACTTAGTGGCGAATGGCGGTTGTGTTGATATTGGTGTGTAACTTTGTGTGTGTCTGTAGATATGTTTGCATATGTGTATATATCAGTGGTTGCCTTAACAGTCTATAGGTGCCATGTGATGGGGATTTTTTTGTGTGTGTGTGTCCGTCTGGCAGAGTGAAGCCTGCAATTTTTGACCTGATCTTGGCAGTTGGGATTGCGGCCTACCTGGGCGCGGTGTACCTGGCTATACAGGTGAGAAGTGGGTAATTTTAATTGGGGAGTATGGTCATTAAAGGTGCAGCCGTTTCTTGGTTTTGCGCTTATCCACGTAAAAAACGGGATTTACATGAAGACACTTGAATGTGATCAAATTGCATGTTAAAACATTGCCCAGGGACTACATCTCATCGTATATTGGAAGCTAAGCTGGTGTTTGAGCCCGCATAGTGCTTGGATGGGCGATCATCATCGTGCCTATGGAACAGGCCTTGTAGGCTGCTGCGGTCCTTGTGTCTTGGATGGCAGTGCAGCATAACCAATTGTTGTACCGTACATCTACGCTCTCACGTCTGTGCTGCTCTGTTTACCAACCCGCACTGACCAGGATAGCAAAGTCCAGTCAAATATCCGCCACAAAAATCCACTTGGTTTGGTGCGGACGCTCTCATCCAGCAGTGGATTGACACACGGGCTGTACATGTCTATGTCTGGACATCTGTAAAAAAAAGAGCTTTAATAGCTCATCGAATTCCTCCATACTCTTTGGTTCTTTCGGTAAAGTCACGTAGGTAGAAAAATAATAGATCACGACGTTTCAATCGCAACACAAGCAATCGTCATCAGGTGGGACAACCACAGCAAGAAAAAACTGCTCCAGTATGGTAAAAAAAAATGTATTTTCACGCAAGTTAACGGGTTACTTTTCCTCTTCGCAGAACTTCGGGCTGCTGTACGAGACCATGCGAAGACTCAACGCTAAGCCAAAGCTGCAGTGAGCAGCAGCAATCACACACACATCCCCGCACACATACACACATCCCCGCACACATACACAGAGACAATACCCAATATAGGCACACAGACTGTTTGGGGCAAGTGCTGTTAGCGAGCACCTATGAAGGCCGGCACGGCACACGAAGGGGCTGGGTGGCCAACACCACTCCCGGCCGCCTTTGTCTCCCCAGTGGTGATCTTTACACACCACACCGGGTACTCATTTGAGGCTGAGTCGACCTAGTGGAGGCCCGTGTCCGGTTCGGTAAATTGTCACTACTGCTCGCTAGCACCAGGCACACACGCACGAACGCGCACGCACGTACTTGCAGACGCAGAAGGCGAGGGTGAAGTGGGGGGGCACACAGAGCCTCCCCCACCTACCAGAGGTCGCAAACGGGTTTTGATTCCTTACCCGTACCCGGCCGCACCAGGGTCGCAAACGGGAACCCGTACTCGTACCCGGCCGGGTACGGGTAGGGTACGGGTAGCGGGTACCTGATTGCGACCTCTGGGATGAAGCCATGTTGCAGGCGCGGGTGGGTTGATTCTAGGAACTTGAATTGTGAAAAGAGACAAGACGTTGGGAAATGAGTGACAAACAGTTACTCACCAGTGACTCACGGTCTACCCGTACCCGGCCGCACCAGGGTCGCAAACGGGTACCCGTACGGGTAGCCGGGTGTAGGGTACGGGTATCGGGTACCCGGTTGCGACCTCTGCCACCTACCCACCCACCCGCACGTTCCGTTTGCGAGTTGCAAGCGGGTGATCGGAGGATGGCGTGAGTGATGCGGAAGCCAGAACTGTGGACTCTTGCCGTGACGCATTCGTATCCATTCTCGCGATGAACGTGTCAACTGGAGAATGCATTTTTATTTAACTTGCACTTCGAGATTGAGTCGCGTGATCTACGTCCAGCAGAGGGGAGGGGGGTCTGCATTGCGCCACAATGTTAAACATGTTTTTATCATATCCTCCAGATTATAAGATCCACTTTCCCCCACTGCATTTTCAAGCAAGGGTTGCATTCTATAGCCCAGTATGTGCGTGGTGTGAGACCGGATTAGTTTAACTTGTTTGGCACTCACCGCCACATGTTTGGAATGCGTCACTTCCTTTCCGGAGAATCTCACAATCCGGAGAATACGGTAATAATAGTTATAGTAATAATAATAATATATTATTGAATTGAGTCATGACCCCGAATCGTCACATATCCAAAATGGCGAGGTCGTGGTGGGGGGGAGGGGGTGGGTTGGTGAACGGATTGGTCAATTCTAGATTTGAAGCTTTCGTGACTGCAAGGATTCATATTCTTAGGTTTTTTCGGTAAAGTCACGTAGGTAAAAAATTAAAATTTAAATTAATAAAAGTTAAATTTAAATAAAATTAAAATCACGACGCTTCGGAGGCAACACAAGCTTCCGTCTTCAGGTGGAACCGTCACAGCACGATTGCTGCATCAAGTAAGAGAAATTGCTGCATCAATGGTTACGTCCAGACATGGGGGTTACTTATATTTGTGATTGCGTCATTGATAAGAAATTGCCAGCACAGTGTTATCGTCATTTGGGCTACCATTGCCGCTGTGCCCGCAATTACAACTGTGACAACCCAGGCGTGGCTTTTGTCCAAGGTGTTTAAGTCCAAGCCGTCTCGCACTCCGCTGGCCGATTGGAACAACGCGAGCCAATGTCGTGTGGTCGTCACCCGTGCGTGCGTGCACATGCTGTCTAGTAGCACTGCAGCTGAATTGTAAAACAAAAAAACGAGGGTTGCCGCGATATGGAGAATCGACTATCTGTCACGCAATGTAAGATCCACGATAATCGTATCAGTGTGGCTTGCAAAATACCGTCACGTGATTATCCTCGCTAATTTTTATTGTTCGCAATGCTTTATTTCCTGACGAAATATGCAAACTTTTTAAAGGTCTAAAAAATAAATCGTCGCTCTTTCCCCGTTCAATTGGTGCCAATTGGTGCCGGAGTAATTGACAGCATGTCGGTCATGTGGCATCAACTCTAAATGACTGCGGGCGGGGGGAGATTTTAGGCAGCAGCAAGGCTTACGTTGAGCTAACTGCAGTCGAAATAACTCTTGAGCAATCTTTACTCGTACTTGAAACACACCGGGGCACGATAAAAAGACGGTGACAATCTGAAATGGAATTACAAACTCGAGGGAATATCTGCTCGTCGCGACGATCGGCAGATCGTAGGAACGGGCGTCGTTCTCGTGGAAAAAGATATCGCGGCAAAAACCCTCCTGCAAACCGAACACTGCATGCACTGTTACGCGTCGGGCAACGGTGTCACGGCGCTGCAGGGACGCGCCCTGGGGGCCAAGTGACAATGCGTTCGGCTCATCGATCGATCGAAATCGAAATGCGACGTTCGCGGAAAACGCGTCGAAGCCGCTCGCGCGACAATCGATTATCCGCGACAAGCGACGACGTGGCCCGCGTTTTATTACGCTTACGGTAACAGGGGGAGCGAACAAAACTACAAAACGAATCGAACAACGCAGAGGCGAATGTTAAAACTTGACTGCGGGAAAAACGTGCGGTGGGTTTTCTGGGTGTTGCCCCCCCCCCGCGCGTTGTTCGACTTCGCATCCCGATGTTTCGCTGCAACGTCGCTTGGGGAGCCTCTTCACATCCGGAGACCTGCTCTCGGCACAAGCGCGAAAAACCTCGACGGCACCTGCAGAAAATAATTGGTTCGTTCAATCGAAAATTCCGCCGCTCGCGAATATCTTTGACAATTCCGTCGAATCGCCGGGCACGGATCCAACCGTTTTACGTGTCTAGGCTTTACAGCGAAATGATCGCTGGGTTCTCAAATCGAAGAGGACTTTGCGAGCTTCTCTCCGCACCACCCCCCCTCTCCTCCCTGGGCTTTCTCCTTCATCAACTCCCGTCGGTTTACTGCCGCCAAAATAAACGAGCGCTGTAAAGCGCGCGCACCGGTTTGATAGCGCTGAACGTCGCGAGCAAAGGCGTTGATTAATCGAGGGGGTGGTCTAAGGTTTTGCATGGTGTGTTTTTTATTAAATCTGTGATCGGTGATGAAGCCCCCCCCCTTCCCCGCGAGGCGGAGCGTGATATGAGACTTGTGCGAAGGGGTCGAATCTGCGGAGCTTAAATTGAGTGGTGGCGGGGTCGCTCCCTCGGGGTTGAGTGTTTTGTCTTCGGCTCAAAATGTGAACAATTTAAAAGATTTGCTAAAGATGGTGATACAAGTCCATGTGTGTGTGTGGTGTGGTTCCTTTTTAAATCTTTTATATTAAGTTCACTTGCTTGCTTGCTTAGGACCGTGCAAATCTTTCGGTCGTTTTTTAACCCACTTCCCGTGATCCAATCGAGCTGCAATTTCCACACAGACTCGTTGTGCGTGACAATTAATGTTCGTGAAAATTTTTTTCCAAAATTTTACACTTTTTAGGACAAAAATATTACATTTAATTACCAATTGCTTAATGCTGCCATGCAATCATCTGACCCATAGGTGGCAGCCATCTCAAGCCAGAGGACGAGAGGACTCTAGCCGCCACGCATATAAAGGATTTATAGTGAAAAACTTAGTTTTTACGGGTTATACTTGTTAGTCGGCTGGTCATGAAGCCCGTCTTGGTATCTTTTGTTTGGGTCATACTTTTTCCTCCAATCCCCGTAGTGGTACGTCAAGTGTCATTGAAATGAGATGGCCGCAGAGATTTTCCAAAGAATTGATCACGAAACGTCATTCAAGGGCCATTTTAATATTTTGCACAGTAGGGGAGATTCTTGGACACTGTGATATGAGATTGTCACAATGACAGGGTTATTGCAAACACTGCGGCGGTGTTTGTCAAGCTGCCCATTGGAGCCAAGGAGGTCGCCATACCATTGCTCGGCAGAAGAAGGCGGTCCAGCAATGTGCGGACTAAGCTTTGTTTAATATTTAAAGGTTTTTGGGTTGAATCGCGTTAAGTGTAAATGTGTCGTAACCCTCCACCACCCGACACAGCCAGCAAGGTTTGTCACGTGCACAACGCACCAATTAGTTACTACAATTTGAGTACTCTAAATGTTGTGGGTTTACTCTCTAACACAATGACGGCCTGCAGTACAATTCCAATTCCTGTCCCGTGGGCATCGAGAAGGAATTGTATATCCTGGCTTGCCGGGAGGCGAGACAGCAAATGTGGACTCCCACCGCTTCCATCTGTATGGGATCGAGTGTTGCACCCTCGCACCCATGGGTTTTTCTCCAAGTTCTAGATTTGAAGCTTTCGTGACTGCAAGGATTCATACTCTTAGTTCTTTCGGTAAAGTCACGTAGGTAAAAAATTAAAATAATAAAATCACGACGTTTCGGAGGCAACACAAGTCTCCGTCATCAGGTGGGACCGTCACAGCCAAAACGTCGTGATTTATTATTTTTTTATTAATTTTAATTTCATTTTTTACCTACGTAACTTTACCGAAAGAACGAAGAGTATTTTCTCCAAGCGCTCCGGTTTTGGACAATAATACCTAAATACTGTATGTAGAGGGCAGCAGAGCTTGGGAAATTTGGCGCCGGCTCAACGTGCGGCTGCTGCCTTTCACAAATTCTCATCCAACATGAAGAGCCTCCAAATGTAAACTTTGCAAGGTTTGTGCAGAGATGGCACGTGAAAGCTCATTTCGACGAGGCTCCTGTGGTTTGTTTTTTAAATCTTTTATATTAAGTTCACTTGCTTGATAATTGGTTCTTTACCCTTCTATCTGGCAACAAAACTGACACCTTTTTGCAAGGAGTCATGTTTGCATAGACCGCAATACCTGCAGTCATAATACAAACAAAAGAACATAACTCTGATAATGTGCACTGTCCTTGAAGTTGATTGGTCCACACCCGAGACAGCTTTCCTTCGAGCCTAGTCTCCTATGGGTTGGACCAGATGACGCCAAAAGGCGCACAACTCAAGGACAATGCACCATCAGAGTATGAGAGCTCGGGGCAAGCATCTACACTATGGGGACCTCATTTGCCAGTAAAAATATGATAATTGGTTCTTTACCCTTCTATCTGGCAACAAAACTGACACCTTTTTGCAAGGAGTCATGTTTGCATAGACCGCAATACGACCGTGCAAATCTTTCGGTCGTTTTTTAACCCACTTCCCGTGATCCAATCGAGCTGACATTTTCCACACAGACTCGTTGTGCGTGACAATTAATGTTCGTGAAAAAAAATTCCAAAATTTTACACTTTTTAGGATAAAAATATTATATTTAATTACCAATTGCTTAATGCTGCCATGCAATCATCTGACCCATAGGTGGCAGCCATCTCAAGCCAGAGGACTCTAGCCGCCACGCATATAAAGGATTTATAGTGAAAAACTTTGTTTTTACGGGTTATACTTGTTTTTTGCTGATTATTTATCTCGCATTTGTCCAAACTGAGACAATTCTCGATTTAAAGCTTTCGTGACTGCAGGGATTCATCTTCTTGGTTCTTTCGGTAAAGTCACGTAGAAGGGAAATAATAAAATAATAAAAATAAAATCATTCTCACGACGTTTCGGCCAAAACGCAAGCAGGCGTCCTCAGGTGGAGAACAGGTCTGTCGAGAAGACAGTCTGAATCTTCTCGACAGACCTGCTCTCCACCTGAGGACGGCTGCTTGCGTTGTGGCCGAAACGTCGTGAGAATTATTTTATTATGTTTTATTATTTTATTATTTCCATTCTACGTGACTTTACCGAAAGAACCAAGAAGATGAGCCGATTCTCTTCAACGTAACCGGCTCCATTCGTAATCGACATCGAATTTGTGTTCGATTCCTCGGGGCATCCACGAATTTCCGCCTCCGAAGGTGGGAAACCCCCTATAAGCCACGCCCAGCTGCGTGACGTGGCAAAACGCGCCGATGACGTGGCCAACAACCTCCCGTCCAGCGGCACACCGTGAAAAAAACGGTAGACCCCGTTCCCCCGTCCAAAATATCGTCACTTGATTAACCAATCGCACCGATTATCGGTGGTTGAATCGATTACACAGGACTTAAATCGGATAGGCCAGCTGAAAACATCTGTGACGAGTTTGATGGAACAAAGGCGTGGGCTTTGTGGTGATTATCGGATTAAATCACGTGGGCAGAGTGCATTGTATTGCAACGTTAATTGGCAAGGGCACAGATTATTGTGGACTTGAGGTAATTATCGGGGTAAAAATTACGTCATTGGTAAATTATCGGGGTAAAAAAAAAAGCACGTGGGCATTGGTATTAATTATTGGGTTAAATCACGTGGGCATTGGTAGTAATTATTGGGTTAAAATCCGTGGGCATTGGTAATAATTATTGGGTTAAATCACGTCAGCGGAGTATTGTATTCCAGACCCCCCCGTTGTTTCCCGCGCAAATGCAAGGCGGCACGTGCACGTGACGTCACGACCCCCCGTGCACGACACCCCCCCCCTCCCTGTGCACGACCCCCCCCCCCCCCGTGCATTGCCCCCCCCCCCCCCCGCACAGCCCCGCGTTAACCTCGCCGCCTGCCCTCATTAATTCTCGGCATTAGTGCGGGAGAGGGAGGGGGGAGGGATGAACCGCGCTCGGTAATTTCCGTCAGCCAATCGGATCGCTTCAACCGCCGTTCGCGGTGACCTCACCGCCCAGTCGCGGCGCGATTTTAAATCGTACAACGTATAGGCGGGGGCAAGCCTCGGGCCGATCGGCTCGGCCGCTCGGCTTATCCGCTCTGGGAAATCTACGCGGCATCGTCGCCGCGTCGTCACGTTTTCCCTCCGCCGTGCTCCGGCTCGTCCCCCCCCCCGCCCCGCCCCCCCTCCCCCCCCCCGCCCCCCTCCCCCACCGCCAGCCGCGGCCGCATCACCGCCGCGGCTCGCGGTGATAAGGCGAGCGGGGAAAGTAGGGCCCTGAGGCCTGGGGCCCCCGCGCGTATGGAAATCGGGAATTTAAGGCGAATTTAGTTGAAGCGTCGCCACCGATGCCATTCGCGCTCAAGTAGGGCGACGTAAGAAGACTCGGACACCGTCGGAGCGTCGCGTTTGAAGGTAATTGCGGTGTAAAATGACCGCGCTGTAGCTGTAACAGAGGCTTACGATGATACGGTATTCATAAAGAGCCTGGCGGCAAGTAACGCATAATTCCTCGAATATAAAGCGAACTTTAATAAAGAAAAGTATGTTTCGTTTGCCTTTAACCTCCTCACGTGTCGTGGTTTCTTTTACGTAACGCCGAGTCGTCTCGATGTCGATTGATTTGTGAATTCGTTGTTTGAGGCCTTCGCCGGAGTAGGTTGGGCGGCCCTGCCGGGTCGGATCGCTTCTTGCGCGGGTAGGAAAACTATCCGAGCAGCGGGGTCTGAGCGATACCCCGAGGGGCCTGCTGTTAATGCTCTTGTTTATTTGTGAACATTTTACAAGATTAACAGGTTTTAAAACTACAACAAGTATATTGTACATGAACAACAATACAGGTAAACGGATAGTTGTCATCACAAGCACTGTTTCGTGAACGTCCTTCCCCAAACAGACATTGACCAAACACTTTAATCTAATACATAAGCGCACTATTAGAAGGTAAATGCTTAAACGGATAAACAGGATACGTTAATGGGTAATAAACATTGCGTTTGTGGATTATGTTTGTATTTGCTCAGACCGTTGTCAATCCACAGCTTGGGTTAGGGCACTCACCATGCCGGTCGCGGGGTGGGTTTGGTGGTTTGTCAACGTTTCTTTTTCTCGCCTGTTTGTCGTTTGTAATATATTGTTGTGTTCCCCTTTATGTATCAAACATGCTTGGTATTCCCTACATCATCACTTCGCCAGCTCGCGCGCTGACCAGCGCGATGAAGTATGGCCAAATGATCCTTCGGTGGATTGACACGACTTTGTTTCGTGCGGTGTTTACGGGCCATTGAGCGGCTGACAACAACAACAAAAACTTTTCAAAAAGCAAATCATTGTCCAGGTTGTACATCCCGAAATACTGTACCTGTCGTCGTGTTTTTTTATCTCCCCCCTTGTGTTCTCGCCATATTTATAAAGGTCGCGTTTGCATGTACAGTAATGTCTGGTGTTTATAACTGGTGTAAATTCGCCTATTGCGTGGGAAAATCGCCTGCCGTGTTTTTGTACCGTCGATTATTTCCGAGCCCTCTTTTTGAAGATTGTTGCCCCCCCCCCATACCATGCCTCATGGTGGGGTGGCTGATAAACCCGATTTAGACGAGTAATCCGACTA